AATATAAAAGTTTAATTATTTCTGGAATAAGAAACTGTAGGTTTCAGGGTTCTAAAGCTAAGAGAAAGAAGGTTATTTGTGCATGACAGAGAGCTAAAACAGAAGAGAAAGAACTGATAAAAAACAGTCTGCATTTTTCATTCGAACAGAGAAATATATGGACATCATACAGCACTGTTACAACCACTCCTCAGTATAAAATAATCTTTAAAATGTTACAATTTGAACTACCCGTAACAAACACAAATAGCATTGGGATTTTGTGGCCTTAATCACCAACTGTCTTCACCTAAACAATACACAAATATCACTTGACAGACAACCCCTTTAATTCAAAAACTGGCGCCAAACTTTCAAACCAGCCATGCAAAAAGTTTCCAGCAAAATATCATTTGCTTCAGCACTCCTCCTTGATATTTTTGCTGGAAACTCCAAGTCTGGATCTTAATTCTTCAAACTTGGATCTGCCTAAGGATTTGGTCATTATGTCAGCCACTTGCTCCTCTCATTTGCAATGAATCAGCTTCACCTTACCGTTTTGCTCTGCCTCTCTCACTACATGATACTTGATTCTGATATGTTTTGTGCGACCATGGAGTACTGGATTCTTGGACATTGCAATTGCCAACTGGTTGTCACAGTGCAACGCATTTCCTTGAGTCTGTTCCAGCCTCAAGTCTTTCAAGATTTTTCTCAGCCAAACTAACTGGTTGACTGTAGCAGCAGCAGCAGCAGCAACATATTCAGCTTCAGCAGTGGATTGTGCTACCACCTCTTGCTTTTTTGAATTCCAGCTTATGGCACCTGCATTCACAAAGAAAACATAACCGGAGGTGCTTTTCATGTCATCTAAGGAGCCACCCCAATCACTGTCAGTGAAGCCATGTAAACTAAAATTTTCAGCTCCCTTAAACCATATTCCCAGGTTTGGACATCTTTTAATGTACCTGAGGACTCTTTTTGCAGCTTGCATATGCAGCTCACTTGGTTCATTCATGAACCTAGAGAGTAGACTTGCTGCCTACATAATGTCCGGCCTAGTTGCAGTCAAGTATAACAAACACCCAACTATACTCCTGTATTTAGTTTCATCAACCTTAGCAGCACGATCATTTTTGCACAACTTCACATTTTGCATCATGGGTGTGTTGATAGGTTTGCAGTTTTCCATTGCAAATTTTTTTAGCAGTTCATTAGCATACCTTTCTTAAGAGATAAATATGCCATAAGGGGACTGCCACACTTCCATTCCCAAGAAGAAACTCATCTCCCCTAAGTCGGTCATCTCAAATTCCTTGTGCAACTCCTTCTTGAAATCCAGCAGCCTAGTGGAGTTAGGACCTGTCACCAGCAGATCATCAACATACAAGGATATAAATATCCTTTCATTATCAACCTCTCTAACATATAGGGTATGCTCATTAGGACTTCTTTCAAACCCCAACCTCATTAGGAACTCATTAATTCTGCTGTACCAGGCCCTAAGGGCCTTTTTTAATCCATAAAGAGCCTTCCTAAGAAGGTACACCATATCCTCTTGTCCTTCAACCGTATACCCTTCAGGTTGCTCCACAAAGATCTCTTCATCAAGCCACCCATTCAAGAAAGTAGATTTCACATCCATTTGGAAGACTTTCCACTTAAAATGGCCTGCAATTGCAAGAAGGATTCTGATGGTGTCAAGCCTTGCAACTGGTGCAAAGGTGTCAGTAAAGTCCACCCCAGACTACTGTGCATAACCCTTCACTACAAGTCTTGCTTTGTGTCTGTTAACTGAACCATCAGGATTCAATTTCTTCTTATAAATCCATTTCACCTGGATAATCTTTCTTCCGGCAGGTCTGGTTACTAGTTCCTAGGTTGCATTCTTCTTAATCATGTCAAGTTCTTCATCCATTGCTGCCCTCCACTCTTTAACTTTGGTTGCTTTAGCATAACATGTTGGTTCCATCAAGGCCAAGTTACATCTGTCATAAATTTCAGCCAAAGGTCTAGTTCCCCTAATTGAAGAATCAGCTTCAAAATCAGAGCTGAAATCTGGAGTATCCTGAGTAGCTATCAAGTCTCCTCCTTGTTCTTGCATATTACTCCCTTCAATCTCATTTCTGTCCCAGTTCCACAGCCCCTCTTCATCTACTTTTACATCTCGGTTAACCAGGAACTTTTTGGTCTTAGGATTGTAAATCCTATATGCTTTGGACAAGCTACTATAACCAACAAAAATTCCAATTTCAGCCTTCTCATCCAGCTTACTCCTCTTGCTTGCTGGAATATGAGCATAACAAATGCTTCCAAATATTTTTGAGGTGGTTGATGCTTGGCTTTACTCCATACCAAGCCTCAAATGGTGTTTTGTTATCTAAGGCTTTAGTTGGCAGCCTGTTGAGAAGGTAAACTGCTGTATTTACAACTTCAGCTCAGAAAACTTTCGAAAGTCTCTTTTCAAACAGCATGCACCTTGCCATTTCCATTACAGTTATGTTCTTTCTTTCACTCACACCATTTTGCTGTGGTGTGTAAGGAGAGCTCAACTGGTGCTTTATTCCGGATCCTGCACAGAGTACTTGAAACTGGTTTGAGGTATACTTAGAACCATTGTCACTCCGGATGGTTTTCAGACTCAGACCAGTTTCATTCTCCACCATTTGCTTAAACACCTTAAACATTGCAGCCACCTCACCTTTTTGTTTCAGGAAGTAGACCCAGCACAGCCTGGTGAAGTCGTCTATAAACAGCAGAAAATACCTGCTGCCATTCAAAGAAGGCACCTGCATTGGACCACACACATCTGTGTGTATAAGCTGAAGCTTTTCAGCAGCTCTCCAGGATTGATTTGCTGGAAATAGTTGCCTACTGATTTTCCCCAGTTGGCAGACTTGACATACCCCTTCCTTCTCCTCAATTTCAGGCATACTTTGAACAAGTTCTCTCCTCCTCATTTCCTTAAGACCTGAATAATGAAAATGCCCAAATCTTTTGTGCCAAACTTCAGTTTCAACACATTTTGCAGACAAGGCATGTAAAGCTGAGTTTTTCCATTCAATTGGAAAACTTTTCCCTAGCATTCTCACATTCATCAACTCATTCCCTAAGTTGTCTACTACTATGCAAGACATGTTTTGGAAATGTAAGGAGTAGTTCTTTTCTAACATTTGACCCACACTCAGCAAGCTTTGGTTGATTTCAGGTACATAAAAAATATTTGCAATATATTTAGTGCCTAATGGAGTTGGGACAGCAACTTTACCTCTTCCTTTGACTTCCACAAATTTTCCATTGCCAATCTTGACTTTGGAGTGGAAAGATCTATCAATGCTCACAAAACTTGATAGATTTGGAGTCATGTGGTTTGTACAACCACTATCAATCAGCCATACATCATCACACATGTTGTGATTCGTGCATGAAGCCATGAAGAGCTGTTCTGCTTCTGGATTTGGTTGCTGGATCTCCACCACTGCAGCCGGCTGCTCCTGCTGATTTCCTTTGCTTTTACACACTTTTTCTATGTGCCTATATTGCTTGCATGACCTGCATTGTATGCCAGGTCTGAACCAACATTTAGATTCTGGATGTTCCTTTTTTTGCAGTGCACACATAGAGGAAATGATCTTTGTCCACCACGTTTCCCTCCTTGATTGTAGCTCTTCTCTTTTCCTTTCTTTTCACCACTGTATTTCTTGTCTTCTCTTCCTTGTACTCTTCCTTTTTGACCTACATACATGGCTGCCTTAGTTGAGTCTTCTTGCCTCAGCTGCCTCCTTTGTTCTTGGGCTTGAAGTGAATGAACCAGCTCAGCCAAGCTGATTCGGGACAGATCTTTGGAGTCCTCTAGGGACGAAATTTTTGCTTCAAACCTCTCAGGTAAGCTGACCAGGACCTTCTCCACCACTCTCTGGTTGGTTAGTTCTTCCCTTAGTAGCTTGATTTTGTTTACCACAGCCATGAGTCTGTCCACATATTCCTTGACAAATTCTGCCTCCTGCATCTTAAGTACTTCAAATTCTCTTCTCAAGTTTAGAACCTGCATATTCCTTGTCTGGTTACTTCCTCCAAACTCCTCCTTGAGAGTGTCCCATGCTTGCTTAGGGGTTTCACATGCCATGATCCTGGAGAAGACCTGATTTGTCACAACTGCATGTATACAAGACAATGCTCTTGGAGCTTTGGCTGCTTCTTCTTCATGAGCTCTTATCTGGTTCAGCGTTGGGTTGGGTCCAAGATAGGGAACTTGCTTCTCCTCTTCCACATATTGCCACAAGCCATGGCCCCTCAGATATGTTTTCATCTTGACAGCCCAAACATGGTACTGGTCACCGTTGAAAACTGGAGGAGAGATTGGAGCAGAACTGGATGCCATGGAGAAGCTTTTTGGAGTTAGTATTCTGGTCCTAAAAGATCAAAGAAGCTCTGATACCAATTGTAGGTTTCAGGGTTCTAAAGCTAAGAGAAAGAAGGTTATTTGTGCATGAGAGAGAGCTAAAACAGAAGAGAAAGAACTGATAAAAAACAGTCTGCATTTTTCATTCGAACAGAGAAATATATGGACATCATACAGCACTGTTACAACCACTCCTCAGTATAAAATAATCTTTAAAATGTTACAATTTGAACTACCCTTAACAAACACAAATAGCATTGGGATTTTGTGGCCTTAATCACCGGCTGTCTTCACCTAAACAATACACAAATATCACTTGACAGACAGCCCCTTTAATTCAAAAACTGGCGCCAAACTTTCAAACCAGCCATGCAAAAAGTTTCCAGCAAAATATCATTTGCTTCAACAAAAACTGTGTATATAAAGTACATGTAAATAGTAAAATGTTGTAAAGAAGTATACAACAATGTCTTCTTTTAAGATTGTTATCTGTCTGACCAACAGAGCGATGGCTTAAATCATGCAAATCTGCCTCCAAAATGTAGTCGACAAATATTGTCTGTCAACATGGTGGATTGATGAAGTGGACTTGCTCCGAGTGGAAACAATGACTTGATTACTAAACCTTGGGAGGTGGTGGGGAGTTGTAGTAATAAGGTGGCGGTGGTGAAGGAGAAGGTGGTGGTGGTGATTTGTAATAGTAGGGAGAAGGAGGTGAGGGAGATGGTGGAGGAGGAGATTTATAGTAGTAAGGAGGTGGAGGTGATGGGGATGGACGAGGTGGGGACTTGTAGACATAAGGAGGAGGAGGTGATGGATAAGGAGGTGGAGGTGGTGGAGATCTATAGACATATGGAGGTGGTGGAGATGGAGATGGAGGTGGGGGCGACTTATAAACATATGGAGGAGGCGGGCACGGAGATGGAGGAGGAGGAGGAGGTGATGGGGATGGTGGAGAAGGAGACTTGTAAACATATGAAAGAGGTGGTGAGGGAGATGGAGGTGGGGGAGACTTGTAAATATAAGGAGGTGGAGGTGAATGAGAAGGTAGTGGCGGCGACTTGTAGACATATGGAGGAGGTGGTGGAGGCGAGGGTGGCGGCGGGGACTTGTAAACATAAGGAGGAGGAGGAGATGGTGATGGAGGTGGCGGTGACTTATAAACATATGGAGGAGGTGGTGAAGGAGAAGGTGGTGGCGGCAACTTGTACACGTATGGAGGAAGTGGTGAAGGAGAAGGTGGTGGCGGGGAGTTGTAAACATATGGAGGAGGAGGTGATGGCGATGGCAATGGAGGTGGAGGTGGAGGGGATGGAGAATTTTGTGGTGGTTTGTATACATAAGGAGATTTGTGAGGGTAAGAATTTGGTGGCTTGTAAGATTGAGAAGGCGGCGACTTGTAAACATACGGTCTCGTTCGACGTGGTGAGTCATGAGTGGGAGCCTTGTAGGCAGCAGCCACATTAGAGGCCACAAGGCACAATGCCAAGGCACACACTAGAAGATGAGGCCAAATCCTTGCCATTTTGGCTACTCTAAATTCTTCTTCTCTCTATAAGAAATTAAAGGACGAGTTTTGAAAGAAAACAACAGCGAATGATGAAGTTTATATAGTGATTTCTTCAAGCTTTAAATCAATTCTTTAATGGTGCATACATGAAGTTTCCTGCCTTTGACAAGCTCATTTTGCATATTTTAAGTAATATATATAATATGTTGACAAAAATACATAGTGGGAACCCGACTGCCTTTACAAATGTCTCCATTCACATTCTACAACTAGTACAAGTTCCTAATTGAAGCAGTCAATTTTATACTACAAGAACAATTCTAATACATTAATAGAAATATTTACCGTAGAGTCTTCTATAGTTTCGTGTCCGAAAATTTACTTTCTAGAGCTTTTAAAGATCTGATTAGATATATGCATTTTGATCTGGTTAAGATCTTGACTAGAATGCCTAACAAATAAATTCTTGGAGAGAACGTCTAACAAATAAATTCTTGGAGAGGATTGAGTCGTTAGAAGTCCAAACGCATGGTCCAAATATTGTAAATGGGCATGTTAACTTAAAGTAACAATAACTGTTGATCTGCAAGGGGTTATGAGGCCTGTAAGATATCAACGGAAAGCTTGTTTCGAGCTCAACATTGTGGTTAACCTAGTGTCTCGGTTGGGGGTCGTTTTCAGGCCCAAAATATGCTGTTTTAGCGTGTTTTGGGGTCGTTTAAGTTTTCTACCTTTTTTTCTCATTTTATTTAGAGTCATTTCTTATTTTATAATTAGTCAACAGTTAAGATTTCTTCTTTTAATTAATTTGAATTATATTTCCTTGTTTAATAGGGAGTCTTGTTAGGGTTGATTGTCACCACCTTATATTACATATTATTCGCTTCTTTGAAGAGATAAATGATTTTTCAAATTTTCCTTTGAACTTTACTAATTAAATATATGTGATTGAGACTTGATTATGAATCCTAAAAGCATAATCTGTTGCTAGTCTCGTTTTTATTCTTATCCTGTATCTACCAATCACAAGTTTTATTTACTCAGATAAAAACTCAGACCAGTAGAGATTTTTTGTTCAAAAAACGTTAGTCGGTGTTATGGAAGAATAGATAGGTTGGGACGTGTATAGAGTGCTTCAAATATTTGTTTTAAAGCTGTAATCTACTGTCAATTGTGGTTGGCATTTCTTTGTCCTCAATTCAACTACTCCTCATCAAAAAGAAATCAACCTACTCTCTCTATAGTTTCTAAAGTCTCCTATTCAAATTGAGTGTCAAGTTGCATCCAGGACTAAATCACACAACGAGTTGAATATTTTTTGTATTTGTCTTTACAGCTTTTAATTATTTAGTTTTCCTTTTTCACGAGCTGATACAAACTAAGCAGACTGATCATGGATTAACCTTATGCTGTCATTTATTTACACTCAAAAGTATGGATGTCGGCAATGTGTAGAAAAGGTGTAAACATTCGCCTTTTTTTTTTTAATCAGGACTCCGGTTAGATGGTCCCGCGGCCAAACTTTAAAAAGATAAAAATTTACAATTTTTAACGTGAAATTATTTATCAACCCTATTTAACAAGGTTCATAAATATATATGATTAAATATATCATTACATCGTCTATCCTAGTTTGTTTAATCTATTTTCTTAATTTCCATTTTCCCGTTTCTTTTACTACATATTAGTTTGTATACAAGATTTTGTACCAATATCTTATATAAATAGATTATTTCTAATATATATTCTTCGAAGTTACAACATTTTATACACATTGCCTATATTTTACCACGCACAATCATGTTTATCTCTACAATTAATTGATACTTCAAGTTATAACTTGGCATTGAAATGCAAACTATAAAGGACATTAAAATCTAAGAATATTTTATTAGATAATTGAACAAAAATATAATAATAAAATAATTCAACAGTAGGAAATTTCAGCAAAGGACAGCTTTGCCGCCTAACCAAAATCATTCCTAATTTATAAATCCCTTAGGGGGGGGAAAATACACTCCAAAAATCATGCTCAAAATAAGAATAAAAATAATATATATTTTTACTTTCTATATATAGGTGATTAGCAGTGGCGGATCCAGGATTTTTGCGCAAGGGGGGTCTCGGCGGCTTCACCATTGTTTGTCAAACAACTAGTGAAAACTTAAAAAAAAAACATCAAACCTAAAACAAAGAAAATAATGCTATATCAAGAATATAAGAGAAAAGAATGTAATAACACAATAATCTCTATTTGAATAAATCTATGAGAAATTTTTTTTTGAGTAAATGTGTTGAGTAAACCTTGAGCAAAACCTTCTTTTAATTTTAATTTTTTATTTTATTTTTGGCTTCCAAAGATTATAATATAAATTTTCATGACATTAATCAGACCTAGCCTAAGTTAAAGTCAACCAAAACTTAAGTCAAGTCAATGTTACGTTGACTTTTAATATGAATTAATAAAAAAAAAAAAGAATTTCCTTGATATAAATATAGTTAGTAACTCAAATTTCATTAATAATTTTGAGCAGCTGAACGGTGACGTTTGAAATGTAAGAAAGTGGTGGGTGAAGGGTGAAGAATGAGAAACTGAAAAGCTGAAAGAGAGAAATCGAGAATTCGTGAAACTCTTCTTATTAATTTTAGAGAGTTACAATTTACAATAAAGCTTTTGTTCATATACAAAGAGAGAGAAGACTAACGCTAAGAGTAAACCCAGCTCAATGATAAACTAAAGAGTAAAGTTTATGTTCTCAAAACGACGCCGTTATTTCATTTGTGGAGTTACAGTTTTACGAAACTGTCCTCTTTTCAGTCTGGCTAACATTCCCCCTCAAACTGGACTTCGGTTGCTGAATTCTTCAACATTTTCTACTAAATTGCCTCCTAGACTTCAGTTTGTTGTTTTCAGACATTTTCTGCACTTCTTGCACTTTTTGAAAAAAAAAATAACACTGCATCTACTATCTTGTTTTTACCAACACGAATGGACTGCTTTTGCACTTTTCAATTAAACTCATCATCACCCTACTAAGTTTCTACAAACATCCAGCATTTACCAATCAGTTTTACCAACATGACTGGACTGCTTCTACACTTTTCAATTAAATTCATCATCACACTACTAGATTCCTACTAACATCCAGCATTTACCAAGCAGTTATACCACTATTTCACAATCAGCATTTCATCTTCTTCATGCTTACACTCTGCACTCATCACCCCATAGTTATCATTACAAAACATCAACATACACACTATTATACTGCAACTAGCACTTCAATTCAATACTTATCTCCAGTATTCCTATCCTCACATTACAAACATCATCACAAAACAGCAACACATATACTTCATTTCAATACTTATCTCCAATATTCATATCACCATGCCACAAACAACATTCCAAAACAGTAACACACATACTTCAAAATTTCCAGCATTCATATCAACACACCATGGTAGCGTGTCGAATGCACCAAATTAATTAACCTTACTAACCTAACTACTAACTTGTATACAGGGTGAGCAAGGGTCCATCCCACAGGGAATAATTCGATTAAATCCTATACTCTATGCCAATAACCATAACAAAAACAACAGAAAAATAAAATAAAATAAAATCCTAAACAGTAAACATGACAACAAGATAATGAAAGGGGTTGTAGACAATGCAATCTAAAGTTAAACAAATAAATCTCCAATGATAGAAAATATCAGATTAAAAACAACCAATTCTCGGTTCAAGATCCACCTAAACATGCATTGGACATGAACTAACCGTAACATTATTCTATCTCATTATTGTGGAATTATTGACCCTAGGAAACAACAAGCTCTATTACCGAATTTTCCCTTAATTATCACTACTGAAATAAGCTCTTCAACTAGATCCTAACCCTTGAACAACCTAGAATAAGCTCTCCAAGTTTAATTCAATGGCAGCCTAAAGAATTAGGAAAATAGATCAATCCAAGCAACAATCATGCAAGATTGGATTATTTAACTTAGGTTATGTTATTCAAGGTGACAAACTGAAAACTTGTCTGTAATCATCTATCATCATGTGTTACTCATTGAATAGAAAGAAGACAATTACGTATCACAATTCCTAATTCTAACAGATAAAATTCTGATTAAACAATTCATCAAGCCATTACTAAATCACCCAAACAGAAAATTATAAACAATTAAAACAGAATAACATAAACAATTCCAATAAAAACGAGATTGAGAACAATGTTACTAAAGTTAAGTTACAACAATGACATGAATTCAGGCTTCAAAATCCCCTTGAACTGAAGAAGAAAGATCAGCCGCACATCTTGACGTAGAAAGTAAAACAAAAACTAAAAACTAAACTCTACTGCTGTTCTCTCCTGACAGGTTTTTCGCAAGTATAAGAAATCGTGCAAGTAATAAAGCTCGAGTAAATGAGTGTCGAATCCCAAGGGAACTACCTACCAAGTACCGAACTAGTCTATTCTATTGCTATTTGATAAAACAGAATTTTAAGAATGACTTTAATGAAAAAGTAATAAACTAGAAACTAAATAAATGCAGAATTTGTAAACATTTTGAAGTCAAGATCAAAATAACTAAACCTAGGGCACAGATTTCACACCAATTTAATCCTATGCATTGACAGTTATTGCTAACCTAATTAAGCATATTCTAAAAGCCAAATTCCCTAAAATTCCACTAACTTTCTCTCGAACAATTAGCAAATTAACCCTTAAGCAACAACCCAAGATATCTCTATGTCGGATTTAGAAACTAAGAGATCATTAAGTTCTATGGAATTTACCAGAACTTCATAGACCGCAGTAACCTATCTCTAGCGTTCGCTCAATCTATGGTTTTATTACCTTAGTCAAATTAGGTTTCATCTCTCGATCTCAACCTAACCCATGATATCAATCAACTCTCAGGCCCTTAAGAATTGAAAGCATTATGCACAATAATAAAACTTAGAATTAAAAGCTCAATAGGAATTAACAACAATTTAAGTC